AAAATTTAATACTGTAATTCAACCTTAATTCAACCCATGCAGATGCCTACTATAATCTTATCTATTATTTCAGGACATTCCGTCCATCCGAACCTGACTTTTAATTTCCCTTATCTACGAACAGTCTCGCCACTGCAGTTTTGCTGTATTTTATACGTCCATATTCATTCAAAACATAAAACCCAATAAGACGTTTATCAGAAAATTGACCTTTTTTTAATTTATTTCAATGCCATTTACGAACGAAGAAGACGACCGATCCCGACCTTAATTCCTAGTGGGACAAGAAAATTGATTGCGTTTTATTTATTTACTCCCCTTTTTCTAACTAAAATGATATGACACATCCAAGTAGGTGAAAAGGTCCCTTATTGTTCTCTGAACGAATAGTTTCTAGTTATCTTGGTACAACGTATGTTTCTTCATATCTGAACTTCTAATAATCATGCAACAAAGAAATACCAGTTTAAAAAATACTCAGATCAATACTTGTATTTTAAAACACGCATTTATTTTGACTTGTCACTCATGCAAAAAAAATTCTTTAAAACAATTTCGTAGAAGCTTCGAAAATTAAAAGTTTAAAAACTTCAGTCATTTAGAGAATACTTAGACTTAGACCGTGCGGAATCTATGGAAAGTCGATGAAAATAAAAAGAAATACAAGTGAAACCATAAATGAAGTTTATGCATATAGCTTACCTATATTGAGAGTAATATCATGCTTTGTGGACGAACTCCTTAGAAAAGAGACAAAAATACTTAAATGAAGTAAAACTACGTACTTCCAAGCCAGATTGAACATGATTTATCTTTACTTTAATTTTCAACAGTAGTTGTATGTTCAGAAACTGTTCCAGAGGTTTTGACGGCAAAATTCTTTAAAAATTCAGTAAATAAACTGAAATTAAATCGAATCAATGCATTATACGAAAGGATTAATAAATATTAATAGAAGCATCAAATCAACACAGTCTAATTGATGCTAGACTTGTATTTTCGCTCCTCTACTGTAGGCTTCAATGAAGCGTATAATAGGGGAGCAAAAATACAAGTCTAATTTTAATTAGATTGTAAAATACGATGTGGAATGAAATATGTCTTTTGAACATATTTGATCAACAATATTGATATACATAACAGTAATTTATATGAAGCTAAAAAAAATGAAGCCTTGTTGTTACTGATAAAGACTATGTATTTCTCCTTGTGTGTTTCAGAGGAATACTTTCTTTTGTTTTGTTTTTTAAATCAATGTAACAATTTCACTCTATTCAGTCTATTCTGGACCCACTCTTGTCGTCCACACAAAAAATATCTCTACACTTAAAGGGCGGTGCTTGAATATCAGTCTGATTATTTATTTGTGGCTATCTTGTTCTTGAAAAGAGTCTAAAAGAATTTTACTCCTCACTAAGATATAACATTAGTGAAGGAGAAACTTCAAGAGTACTGTGCAACAATATATTCAAGAAGTGGTGTAAATCAGATGTGAATACTTAAAAATTCCAAGGAACTTTTGGAACATTTGAAATCACAAGATTTTACCAAAATCAACAGCTTAAAAACTTACGACTTTTCAACTTTATACACAACCATTCCCCATAATAAATTTAAGTCCAGGCTTTTTGATATCATTGACAGCTGCTTTTTCAATAAAAATGGAACTCGTAAATTTACTTACCTTGCCATTGGTCATTTGCAAAATTATTTTGTTAAAAAACGTTCTGATTGTACACACAAGTACTCTGAAGTTGATATTGAAAAGATCCTTGAGTTTCTGATTGACAATATCTATGTGGTTTTTGGAGACCAGGTCTTCCAACAATATAATGGAATTCTCACGGGTACCAATTGCGCCCCGTTATTAGCAGACCTTTTTTGTATTCATTTGAAACAGAATTTGTCCAAAATCTTATACGTGAAAAGAAGAAAACTCTTGCTGTGGCCTTCAACTCGACATTTAGATATATCGACGACGTATTGTCAATTAAGAATGGTTATTTCCATTCTTATGTTGATACCATATATCCTGGTGAGCTTGAGATAAAAGATACCACAGAGTCTGACACATCTGTTTCATATTTAGATATTTTACTTGAAAAAGACGTTAATGGTAACCAAGCATTATGATAAACGTGATGACTTTAACTTTTCAATCGTCAACTTCCCTTACTTATGCAGCAATATACCTTCGTCGCCTGCATACGGGGTTTATATCTCCCAGTTGATTCGATACGCAAGAGCATGCTTTACGTATGTGCAATTTCTATAACGAGGTAAATTATTGACAAACAAGTTGATGAAACAAGAATATCAGCAGTCTCGTTTAAAGTCATCATTTCGTAAGTTCTATGGTCGACATATTGACCTTGTCAGCAAATACAATTTGTCATTGATTCAAATGCTGACTGACGTTTTTCATACTAATTCTCAAAATTTTAAAAAGATTTTTCTTCCAAATTCCTCTGCAAAACTTCGACCCCTTTGAACAAACTTGAATCTATACTATGTAAAGAAGCTTTCACATAAGTTTTGTCTTTTCTGGCCGAACGATTAGAAAAATATTTTTAAATGACCTCAACTTACTCTGGCTATTTCCTAATTATCTGGACTTGGCCTTTCATTTGAACAAGTTTATTTGAATTTCCATAAACCAAGGAGGCTTTATGCCAAGGCTTGTTGACATCAGAAAACTTTTTCTTGAGAAAAAAGTCGAATGATAAAAGTGAACAGACGACAGAAAGACAAATGTTACATAGAAAAGCACTTTCAAACCTTTGGCACAGGTGAGCTGAAACAGGGATTAAATGATTCATTAAGGTAGAAATGCAAATCGACTGTAAATATCGAAAAACGATGTGTATAACTCAAGTGCAGCAAATGGTACTACGAGATGTGTTGAAAAATATGTCGTCATCGATATGCACGTGTTTTTGGCTTTTTACCACTTTCCTTATGTGACGTCATACATTTCACGGTTGAGTAGTTCTGAACACTGATTTTAATGCACAGTAACCAAGATATCCCTCTGACCAATTTTCATAATTTTCGGTTATACAGTCAAAAAATGTTCGCATATTATGTTACCCTGCGTTTCTTTTTCCTTTCAGTATATTTCCTTGTGAAATGCTAAAGCAACATATAAGGCATGATATTATACAGAAATTTGGGAAAATATTAACTTCACACCTGTGTCTAAGCCCCTTTAATGATGTTTGCTACAGTGTGCAAATCTTCATACCTATAGCTTTGCACTCTGAATATTTTAAAAATAATTTTGCAGAGTCACTGTTGACCTCATGGCACATTTTTGCTGCCTCAGACACAATCTTACTACAGACTAATTCGAAAGATCCAGGTTTGTTTTGAAAGAAGAAAATCCTTTTGTTTGAATAGATTTATTTTCATGCAATGTTTTGATTTGTGCTTTAGATTGGGTGGTCAATCTTGGGCCAGCTACATATGGAAGTGAAAATAAATACCAATACGCTGTACTCAGCGACAACGTCAAGGCCACAATCTTTGTCCTTGCCCGTGATTCGGAAGTGTTTAAAAGAGACTATGAGGCCGAAGTTCCTTAATTTTTATAGGAGAAGGGTTTTCAACTATAGTAAACAAACCAGTAAAAATTTATCATGAAAGTGAATGTACATATAATGATCAGCACCAATAGATAATTAAGTGCTAAAACTTGAAACATGTAAATCTTACTTAATATCAAAGGCAATATTCACAAACGTGTATAAATGCACGTGCAATGTACAATTACAAATTGCCATCAAGTGTATATTTCATTTGTACATATAACACATAAAATAATTTCTACCAGGAGTTTATAATTTTTTTTTAAAGAATTTGGAAATATATACTTCCAACCATACACAGCCATACACATATAACCATACAAAGCTAATGAAACAATAATTGCTGGGATTTTTTCCCATTATGGAATTAGGAGGAATTGATAAATATTGTACTCCTCAGGTGGCTAAATCATCGTGTTGACCTCAAAAGAGCAATATTTGTTTAATGTTTGCAAAATGGAGACAATTTTTCTTTGAGGAAAAAGAAGATAGGAAAACAAGGCAAACAAAATGCATTTGATGTGACAAAAAAGAAGGTGAAATAATCAAATCTCTATTATAACAAGACTTTCCTTTATATTTCATCTAACATTAATGTATACTTTATGAATAATCTCCACATTTTGAAAAAATCTCACAAAGATTGAAATTATTTGTCTGTTAAATAGTATACACACACCAAAGAGCACAAAAATGATCATTTTCTCATATTATTACACATTTTAATATAAGTGGGTCTTCGCTCCAATCTGTATGTTGTTAGGAGTTGTGTGGCGTATTTTTTAATGCGTTAGTCTCAGACAAGAATGATATTCAAGTGTTTTATTGCTTGAGTTCGAAACCAAGGAATACCACATTGATTTTTGATAATAGAAGAATTCTTGTCGAGAAAATTTTTTGCAGAAAAGTTTTCTATAATAAGAAGTTCACTCTAAATACTAAATTCTCAAATTTATTATGATTTTATACATAAAAGCTATAGGCATTCTGCACGCCTTGTTCACCCTCTCCTTTCCAATCAAACTTACAAATATTCAAGTTTAAGTACGAAAAAAATTCCTCAGTTATATTTCTTCATTTGTCAGCTATTCGACTTCTGCTGAAAGATTGTTTTATTTTTTTCGAGTAGCTCAGGTAATAATATAGACTACATTGGTCATTAAAACAAAACAAAAAAAAAGCAACCGTAGTTCCGACGGTTGTTAATAAATGAACAAGAAAATGTAAGGGCATTAAAAGATTATACACAAGTTGTATAATTGTTAACATTACAATAAATAACTTTTGATTCAAATGTCCATCTACTTTTATTTTCGAAACGGTTTAAAAATATCCCTTTTGATAATAATAAATATAATTAAAATTTAAGGACATAAATAATTAATGCATAAATTAATGCAGTCATAAATTGAACTACAGGATAGTATCTTCATCACAATCCTTTGCCTTTTCATCTTCCATCATTCCTAATTTTTCATTTGTTATTTTACGCGTGCATGATCGGCGAAGATACATCACTTCCGTCACAATAGATATCAGGGACAGCAAAATAAAAACAAGATAAACGATAAAGATTCCACCCATATTCTCAAACTTTAATTCAGTTCCTCCGGTAATTCGAGAATGATAGCAATCTGCGTGGTTCCAATACTTGCGTCGAAACTTCGTGATTACTCCAGATTCTACCATTTTCATAATGCTGAAAAATACATGTAATTCATATGTGAAAAGAAAATATGGTAGCAAGATTAATTGTCTTCTGGTCAAAATATTGCTTGTTTTTGCTTATATCATGAAATTGTAAACTAGAGTTTGATATTATACAGAACTAGAAACACCACAGGCCAGTTTATGCCAGAGATTCAAACAGAAAGTCCTAACATTTCTTTGTCAGAGTAAAAAAAATTGCTTTAACAGTTCATAAGTATCATTTCCCACTTTTGGCTTTTGTTTCAGCTCAGCGTCATTTGATTTTGTTTTGATTCAATATTAAGGTATAACACTAATAAAATACATGTTTTAGAAATTTTAAATATTAAAAATCAATATTCTAATTATTAGATTAATTCTGATTGTAGGAGGAATCATATTTACCGTTATTAAATTTTGTTTGCTTTAACATACTAGTACAACTTTCAATTTTTGAAAACCATTACTTTAAAAGTATTTAAAATTATTACTGATTGTCGAAGGCATCTTTAAACGGAAAATTTTTGCCGACGACGAAAGATAGCTGTGTCAATAAAAATGATTCTTGTGCAATTTCCAACTCGTCACATTTATCCTGAAGCTCAAATCGAATTTCAGATGAGTCAGATAGAAAAGCATATTTTCCAGTTTTAACCAACGTAAAAGCTTCATCCATAGTTGTAACCTTTGGCATGTCAGACATCATTTCCCAAATTCTTTTACGAAGTCCTCCTTCTGCAGTCTGAAATAATAAAGTTTTTTTCCGAAACAAGTTGAATAAAAAAAATAAAAATGCCTCTCAGCAAGAGAACAGCAACAACATTTACACTTACCTTAAACAAATGAAAAAGGCTTGTTCCTTGCAAGACAAGGGGTTTATAATGTGTCTGTGAAGCCAACTCCTCTAAATTCTTTAAAGGTGCATTGGAAAGTGAAACTGTTAAAAATGCCGCCAAGGAAGAGGCGTACAAAGCCATGATCAGCGTAATAAATATCCACCAAAATCCTAATATTATATATCCCTGAAGGAATCTTGGTCGAGGACCATCCTCTGAAACGGACAAATAATTTATATTCAGGAGACCCAGAACTAGTTTTTTAATTTGATAAATGTGCTTTTCAATATTATCCTATATTCAAATTTATTTTAAAATACAGAGACATGTAACTTCTATATGCAATGGGCTATATATGGACTATATGCAATGTATCTGCAGTATAATCGGAGTTCATCGAGTTATATTAATCAGCAGTCCATGAATTATTTACCTTGCCCTAAAATGGAGCTTAATGCCACCCACAAATTTCGAGAAAGCGATGCCTCTTTGTGTTCAGCATATGGACTCAGTTTGGCAATGATTGAAAGAATTATGCCTGTCACCACTATGGAAACTACTACGGCAGCCCAGCACACAAGACTAAAAGGACGAAAGACATCAAACATTTGTTCGAGAGGAGGACTGTCAATTTTCCTCATCAGAAAGCCTATTCCTTCCTCCTGGAATGGTGCCAAGAAATCAACAACTTTAAGACGATCTGCTGTTCTAGTGATAGGCCCTACAGCTATGTCAGCCTCCTGAGGAAGAGTGAAAAAGAGTAAGAAATTGCTTTGGGTTTTTTTTTTCATTGTAAAATAAGTGCAAAAAAGATTTCAAAACATACCTCTCTCATGACCATTCCAATCATTCCTGTTGCATCAGAGAAATCGTCAGTTGGATTTCCGTATAAGCCGTCAACTGAATCTTTAATAAGGTATCTTTTTGAAATAAAGAAGGTTATTTTTAATAATATAATGCTATATAAAGAATGTCAATAAATTTCATCTAAAGTAATTTCCTTTGTGTTCTGAAATTTACTTCTATAAAAGTTAAAGAAGGAGAAAATACTTGTATTTTAAGAAATAATCTCAAAACGCCTTTCTTTTACCAACCGAAAGTTAAGAGCCTTTGCAAGATCCTCTAAAATGTCATAGCAAAAGCCAGAATATACTACTTTCCCCGACTCAGCATCTATAGATTTTTTGATGTAAGGATTCGCCTACAATGGTGGTAATATTAAAAGCTTTTATGGTATTATTTAGGATTTTTCGTCAAAATCTGTGTATAAATTTACGATTATTAACCTTTACTTTGCTATTTCTTTTGGACGTAGAAAGAGTCAAAAGATTATCAACTATTTAATCTTAAAGCAGGAATGTAAAATTTAAAACAATTCCTTTTATTTTCATTCGGTATTTGTTTTATTTTTGTACGTACTGCAACAATAGCAATCCTGAGACTTTGGTTTCCAAAATCTTTGAAAATATTTTTAAAAAGTCGTTGATCATAAATTTTCAAATTCTCACGATACTCTGCCACTTTATCTAGGCTTCTCTTGATTCCGTTCGTGCTGTAAACGTCTGTTACGCTCGAGAATGATAATTTTATTTGCCTCAACAAATTCTAGTAATGAAAATGTAGAAGATTAAAATACATTACAAAGTTTGTTTGCTTGAAAATGAAGAAGTATAATTCAAAGATTACGAATATGTTTTTCAGATATAAATATTGAATTAGACTAGAATAAAGAATATATTAAATATAGATTATGAATATAATATACATGTAAATACCGTATAACGGGTATTTTCTGCCGTTGTCCAATTTTTGCGGAATTTTGCGGATAGGACAAATCCGCAAAAATTACAATCGCAAAATATTTTTTTCAATATTTATTAAGATATTTTGTACATGCAGTTATGATAAGTGGTGCATATGTCTGACAGGGTTCTCATTAACGCAAGAACCTGCGTACTGGACGCAGCAAAATTATTTGGAACGCAAGGTTTTTAAAATCAATGTGTCCGCAGACTCATAAGTGGCCACGTCCTCGTTAGGAGAAAATTCGGGTGTCATCGAAATTCGAAGATTTTAGATGTCAGGATTTGTCCAAAACATACTGAATCAAAACCTTCCTTCAAATAATATCAATTAAATATGTTGATACAAAAACATCTTTTCTTGTATCTATTTCGCAATTATTAGTCCAAACTCCGATAGCTGCAAACAACACATGGTAGCTTTTCTTTTTTAAACACTTTTTTTCAATCTTGTGTTTTATCTTGAGACCATAATTACTGTTTGTATACACAATGTGTCTCGATTGTCTCGTGAATTTCACTTAATGCATACGACTGACAGGATTAGTTACGCCTCAATGCACATGACACCTGTGATTGTTAACCGTCAACTTTAGGGTACTAGATTATGCAACTGTTTGTTTTAGCTTAAAATATAAACACCAAATTAATTTTGAGGGCAATTAACTAGAAGTGTGATTTAGAATATGGCTTGGATGCATTTATTATCTATATATTTAAATATTTTAATAGATCGCATAAAACGTATATTAGAATAAAGATTTTTATTGTTGTTTGGGTGGACTGACACTGTATTAATTCATTTAAATTGGTACTCGACATATCTTTACAAAAACTAACTAAAAGACAGTAGTTCAATAAAGCTTAATACCAGTTCTCATACACCTTTGATCAATATGTCCTAATGAATTTATTAAAACGTAAACATGACAGCGTTCTGATAATTCATGAAGTTTAGTGCATGATCATACCCCTTAAATAAATTTTTGCGGTATAATGCAACCGCAGAAATTGAAAACGCAGAAATTAATTTGCTACCTTTTAGGGGTTAAATCGCAAAAATTTCCAACCGCAGAAAATACCCGTTATACGGTAGTATGATTTTATTTTGAAAACATTATATTATGATTTAATCATTTTCTACAAGGGTTATTCATACATTCCTAGAACACTATGGGTAACAAAGACAAGGTATGAAAAACCATTGTTGTATTCATTCAAAACGATAAAAATCTATAAAAAATATCAATAAAAAAAAATTAATGCACCCTCTCCTAATTCCTTTTTAAAAGAAAAAGTTCAGGTTGTGAAGAAATGAAGAATTCTTTTTAATTGTAGAGGAATATCGGAATATAGATATTTCATACGTTTTGCACTGTTTATGACATTTCTAAAATCTTATGGACTGATATTCTTGGTTGAAAATAGAAAATCCTTCCATGATATCAAAATAATTTCAATTTTAATTGAACATAATTTTCTCATGCTGTTTTCGTTTGTAGGTTTAATTAGACCTAGAAAATATGTTGAAATACCTTCAATACTGTTAGAAAAAATATGTCCGTTGTTGAATTTTTTATGTTACAATTAAATTCATCATTAACTTCCACCGTGAAATTTGTCCTATATTCAACTTTGACTTCTTTGTATTCTTGTTCGTCCAGAAACAGATTAGAACTTTCGAACTGTAACAAAGGTACATATGCCGTCAATAAAATTCAAATAATTCTTTTATATCTTTAATCAAAGGTGCTAATATTTTCACGTTTAGAGAGTTTTACATGAAACTCCTTTACATTAACTACTTACGTATTCACTGTTGAACGTTGCATTTGATGACGTCATTATAAAAAGAATATAATTTTCATAAAGATCAACCATCAGTGAATCTACAATGGCATGCAAAGAATTCCCGTTGATGCTAATAATCCAGTAATTATTGAACATTACGTTTTCCAATGAGGTTATCTGAAAGAAACGCTGTACATATATAAGGTCATATCTATTAAATCGTTATTATAAGAAACAGCACATATAAGTTAGCAAATAATTCCTTTTTTATAGTTCTATTATAAATGTATTAGCAAAACGGACCTCTAAAACATCAGAGGTGTGATCAGGTGCCATGGAGAAGTAAACATCTCCTGTCGACCGATCACACCCGCCGTGTGCTCCTTGTCATGATCGGGTAAACAGATAATCAGTAGACGATTCAAAGTAAAGGTAATGGCCTAACAATTTGTATGAAAAAAGTCAGTCAACAATCAACTTAACGTAAAATTTTGTGATTTCACATTTTCTAAAAGTTCCTTGGCATTTTTAAGTATCCACTTCTGATTAACACCACTTCTCAAATGCGTTGTTGTACAGTACTCCTGAAGTTTCTCCTTCACTGCTATTAAAATTGTGGTGAGAAGTAAAGAAAGAGGCTTAGTAGAACATTTACTAGAACCATATATGTACCTTACTTTGTAGGGATTTTTATGTACTTTTAAAATCAAATTCAATTTGATTGTTGGGAATATAAAAAAATATTTAAAACTGACAAATGGTTTTGAAGAATTACCTCCTTAGAAAGGAAGCTATGAGTATTAGATGGATTACCACTTCCAGAATTAAATCATAGTTCCTAAAAAATACAAATATAATAATGAGCCTTGCAAACAAAGATAATGCTGCTAATTGCTTTGTCAGCTGGGACCAGTACATATTGATCGTGTAGTCTATCTAGTTCTTTTTTCACTTTTTGAATTATTAAAGGCAGAAGGTGAGATATTTATTTATTCAGAATTCATATTGCCCCCCAACTGCAACCGTTCAACATCCATCTGATACATTTAATCCATTCTGACAACGTGTCAAGGTCTTCTTTTACATGTATGGCCCATCGACTGGCATAATCTTCAACAAAATATATATAATATTCATAAAATTTTGACGCCACTTGAAAGATCGGGTTTCCCTAAATTTTGGCTCTTTTAAAATAAGTCATTATTTACGTTACAAGTAATGACTGTCTGGCTGGACTATAATTGTAGGGAGAAGAAGGAGAATTATGTTTCAGATATATGATATCTAAGCAGTGTATAATTTTTTGGTAATTAAAAAGTGTGGAAGCAAAAGTCTGAATTTTGTAAGAAATACAAGATATGGACTCTAACCAGATCAGTTGAAGTTGAATCTGACCAAAAAAAAACTTCCTACTAGATCGGTACATCCCTAACACAGTTTTCTGAAGAATATCGACCCAATATCAATTGAAGAGTTTAAATATATGCAAATGTGTTTACTAGGTACCTCTTGTAAGAGTGAACTTATCGTGTACTCCTCGGCGACAACGTAGAAAATGTTTTTGGAGCTTGTATAGCTGATATGCTGCACTACGCTTCTAACACTCTCATCTGTAGCCACATGGATCAATTGAGATGTTACAGAATCAAAGCTAAGGCGCACTATTAAGTCTTGCAAACAATAAGGACCTGAAAAATTCAACCTTTTTATGCATATGTCTCTATATCGTCATTACACACTGTAATCTGTTACTGGAAAATAACAAGAAGAACCTGAACTACATGTAAGGATAAAACACTGGTGTTCTGAAAGTACGATATATATTCTGTTCATCAAAATAAATGCTTATACCTTTATCAATATTTTTCTCCTCTGAATATTTAAGTAAAACTCCAAAGGACATGATTTAAAACATTTTACCAGAGAGTGGTGAGAAAGTACGATAAAGTCTGCTTAATTGCTCTTATTTTCTTGTTCTTCTTCAGAAAAATATAAGATTTATTCTGTCATTATATTGTACATCCCAGTATCTGTTCTTTTTTATTTTCATTATATAATTTCCCCGCTGACGGATTTCAAGAATTGTAGTTTAATAGATTTTTCTTTGACCCAACCAAATTTCACTGACTTTCCTTTAAAAGAGTTTAAGAAATTTTGCAGTCAGACAGACAGATAAAATACAGACAAACGTTTTGGATAGATGGATGGATATACCTACTTAATGTATCATCATAAAGAATGTAGACCTTTTTCCACATTTTTTGCTTTGCAATTGAATAAAGTAGTTCGTTTGTTTCTCTACAATCACTATGCACCCAAGATCCACCCTGCGCTTGCACATAATGGCATAGTTCCTTAGTTGGGAATAGAAGTGGAATAAGAGATGGCGGTGTATTCCACTCCATGATTCCACCGTCACAAGGCAGTGAAGCAACAATTGACGTTATCTTGGAAGTTGGAAGGCTGCACACTGTATTAAGAAGAAAAGTTTTCGCTGTTTATGTTGAATAAAAAGAAATAAACAATGAATCGTAGAGTTAGAGTTTAGAATATATTTTATCATGTAATAAAACATACATGGATTGAGCAACAAGCATTGCCTACGTAAACCCTCTCCACAATCGTAGAATTGTAGAATTATGGGATTAACTGCTATAAAGTCTTCAACCTTTGACCTTCATATTTAGGTCAATGTCCTTCAAAATGAGAGAAAATATGCTTTTTCTATTTCTTTTGTCTTTTAAAATTATATTATAATTAAATGCATGATTGATCTTTTCTTTTAAAAGTTTTTCAGAACTAGCTTTCGCGACTCACAACTCTTACCCTTTTTGGAGTCCTTGTCCCTTGCACGATAAACCGTATCTACTTTCATCCCCAAAGCCTAACTTATCGTGGAATCATAGGACTAGCTGCAATAGGACATTCGACCTTTGGCCTTGAAAATTGGATTAAGGTCAAAGGTTAAGGTCATTCTTACTTATAGGAATATCTTATATTGACCGTTCACCCAAATGACCTTGACACTGACCATAGGTTCAGGTGTAAAAATTTAGGATATGTTTCTAGTTTCAGCTTTCTTTTAATATCTCAATTTCCGGCATAGAATATAAAGAGATTTTATTTTTTCAAAAAAAGATGACCTTAAACTTTGACCCTTGACCCAAAGTTCACAATCATCCTTAAGGACGTGGATTTCGATACAACGTCAAAATAATAAAAGGTTTAAAATAAAAAATTTAATCTCTACCCCTTTCAAAAAAAATCACATCAATAGCAAAGAGGAATATTTCTCTAACATTCAAAACAACACCTCGGATCAACAAAAAATTTTGAGAAATCGCTGTAGTCAAGACCCCAGAAAAACTTTCTGAAGAGTTTAACGGGCAGTCTCTCAAGTATATAAAAATTATGTTTTATATTCTCAAAAACTACAATTTTTTCGTGTCTGAAATCTAGGTGCTGATGAACATACAACTGTAGAAATGAACTAAACCCTTTTATCGGCTATTTCTTCAGATGTTGGTACATATAATAGCATTCAATTCTCATGATGTGATATGCTAAATAAATTAAATACCAATCATTCTAAAAAAAAAAAATCCTTTCTTTAACGTGTTGAATTTACTTCGGTTTTATTTAGAATGAAAAAAAGTGAAGATATTATACAGAGATCGACGTTTAAAGAAATCAGGACAAAAATCATGGACCCCAGTAAATTCCTGAGGTGGGATTAGTTATCTAGCAGGAGTAAGCATCCCCTGTGGACCAGTCACTTCCGCCGTAAGCCCTATGTATTGATCAGGTAGGCGGAATATTCCGAAGTCAATTTAGTAAAATAAAAACAACAACAAAGGCCTAACAATGGGTATGAAATATGCCACTAAAAATACAACCCAATGATGGATTGCATTTGCTCGTTTTAGATAACTCTAGCCCCTCTAGGGCTTGAGTTATAATATCTTAAAATCTTCGAAAATTAACAGCTTAAAAACTAAATCATTTGGAAAATACGTAGACTCAGAAAGTGTGCAATATATGGAAAGTCTGTGAGATTGATTGCTTGATTGATTGTATGTTGCTTTATACATCCCGTTCGAGAATTTTTCACTCATATAGAGACGTCACCATATACCGGTGAAGGCTTCAAATTTAGACATTTACTCGGCACTCAAGGCCATTGAGCAGTGAGAGTTCTCTATAGTGCCAACGTCGACCTTGAGACGGGGCCTCGGTTTTTAAGGTCCCATCCGAAGGACTCGTAACTTTCACTTCAAAGTGTCGAGCGCATGGCAAAGGAACAGTTGCTACCTATTTTTAATCGACTTAGATCAATCGCGGCCGTGATTGGAAACATGACCTTCCGATCACAAAGCAAAAAGTCCATGAGAAATGAGAAGAAATACAAGTAAAACTAAAAATAAAAAAAATTATGCATACAACTTACCTATATTGAGAGTAATATCATGTATTGTGGACGTGCTCCTTAGAAAAGAGACAAAAGTAATGAATTGACATAAAATTATGTACTTCCAAGCCAGACTGAACATGATTTATCTTTACTTAAATTTCAAAAGTAGTTGTGTGTTTTAAAGTGTTCCAAAGATTTTGACGGCAATTTTTTAAAAATTCAGTAAATAAACTGAAATTAAATCAATTAGATCAACGAATTATACGAAGGGATTAATAAATAATAATAGAATCATCAAATTACGGTAATCTATTTAATATTAGACTTGTATTTTCGCTCCTCTCCTACATGTTTACGCTTCAATGAAGCGTATAAAAGAGTACAAAAATACAAGTCTAACACATTTGAATATAAAATTTTGGGAATGCATTCATATCGTTTGGCTGATTGTGTCCCTTCTGTTCTTAAGAACATTTTTCAAACAATTTCTTATGCGAACCTCAACCCCTTTGAACAAACTTGAATCTGTACTATGTAAAAAGCTTTCAAATAAATTTTGTCTTTTCTGGCCTAATGGTTAGAAAAATATTTTTAAAATAGATTAATGCATTGTACGAAGGGATTAATAAATATTTATAGTAGCATCAAATTACGGCAATCTAATTAATATTAGATTTGTATTTTCGCTCCTCTAATACATGAATAAAAGGGGAGTAAAATTACAAGTCTAACTTAATTAAATTGCAAAATACAGTGTCGAATGAAATATGTCTTTTGAACATATTTGATATTCAAAATTAATATATATTATAGTAATTTATATAAAGCAAAAAAATGAAGCCTTGTTGTTACTGATAAAGACTATATATTCCTCTTTGTGTGTTTCAGAGGAATACTTGGGTTTTTTTTGTGTTTTTTTTTTAAATCAATGTAACAGGGTTCTCCATTGGTCGTTTTACGTGGCGGCTCCACCACAGTTAAATTCCTTAGCGCCAGAGTTAAAATTTCAGCACCATAGTTCCGCCACAGTTAAGATATTAGCGCCAAAGTAAGATCGTAGACGTCAGTCAGAAAAATATGTAAATTTATAAATCATACGAACCTCCAGATTATGTACCGATTTTCAATTTCCAATACAAAACCATTAATTTACTTTAATTATGGCCTGTTGTTTGGCTTGCACAATCAATTATCTTTTAGACCTAGCTGGATACATGAATGAAAAGAGACAAGCCTTTTTCACATTTCACGATATTAACAAATGAAATTTTTAATATCAATTTATTCATTGTTTAATAGTTCTACAGATAACCACGTCACTAAAATTGCATTGGCACTGCGATTCAAACATCGTACGTGCATCGTAAGCATGTATTTTTGTTATGTTGAAAAATTAACATTACGAGTAGATCCACCAAATATAATTCTATGACTCTAAACTGCTAAAGTGTTTTTTTTTAATTCACAAGTTTTAAGATACTTCAGTCTTCAGACCAATAATTTTAAATATATAGATGTCAGCGTGATTGTGTGACCTACATATACCAGAATTTCATCTATCCTTTAATGAACACTTGTAGGTGTATATTTTACCTTTTGTAAACAAAATTATCTTTTAAAAAATAAATTAAAATGCTCAAAACCTGTTATCACTCTGTGTAAGTCTTGCACCACAGTTACTTGCGCCACAGTTAAATTTGAAAATTCACTCTATTCAGTCGCTCACTACAAGAGCGGTCCTTGAATATCAGTCTGACGATTTGTGGCTATCTTGTTCTTGAAAAGAGTCTAAAAGAATTTTACTAAACACTTTGAGCTACTTTTGGGACCTCACTCTTGTCTCAGTGACTGATTTAAACACATATGAATGCCCATTATTTGGGAATACGTTCATAAAGGTAGGCTTATTGTGGCCCTTCTGTTTTTAAAGATTTTTCATAAAAATTTTTATGCAAACCTCGACCCCCTTGAACGAACTCGAATCTATATTTGTGAAGAAACTTTCACTAAAGTTTTGTCTTTTCTGGCCTAATGGTTAAAAAAATATATCTAAATTAGATCAATGCATTAATAACGGATTAATAAATATTAATAGTAGCATCAAATTACGGCAATCTAAAATTAATATTAGACGCATTATTTTCGCTCCTATCCAACATGTATACGCTTCAATGAAGCGTATAAAAGGGGGAACAAAAATACAAGATAAACTTTAAATTTTATTATCTTTTGAACATATTTGTTCACCAATGTTGATATATATTATAGTAATTTATATCAAGCTAAAATTCAGTCTGACTATTTGTGGCTATCTTATTCTTGAAAAGAGTCTAAAAGAATTTTACTAAACACTGAACTACTTTTGGGACCTTACTCTTGTCTCAGTGACTGTGATTTAAACACATTTGAATATATAATGTTTGGAAATACATTCATATTGTTTGGTTTATTGTGGCCCTTTTATTCTTAAGAACATTATGTAAAGAAGCTTT